GGTCAGCTACTATGAAAAACACAATTCTGAGCTAAGATGAGTCTTGGCCTGTTCTTTTTTTTTTTTAAGAATTTTATTAATTTTCAATAAACAAACATACACAAACAAAACACAAAACATAAAACTTCTTTTTGGAAAGCGGCCTAGTCCCGGGTTACATCTTTTGGTACAGACATAAATCAAATTCATGCTCACTTTATATACCATTTCATATCTTATTTACTGTTCTATATTTTTTGTATGGCTTCTCCCCTCTTTTCACTCTCTTAATTCTATTTTATTTATTTCATCTCAGTTTAAATCATTATGCTGATATCTTTTGTCCGTTCTATAATCATCTATTTTTCTTTTCTTATTAACACAATATTTCTCCTGTAATCACTAATTGAAGTATGACGCTTTTATATTTTTCCCCTAAATTTAACACTTAAAATAATATATAATTCTCATTCTGATTCTGCTTAGCACATTCTAAAACTACGTACTACATTTTAAGATAAAATAATAATAAATTTATAATATAGTTAAAACAATAATCCATAGTATATTAAGCTTTATCATTTTAGTATTTTGTTAAATCATATAAAGATCCAATTTTCTGACATTATTTCAATTAAAGATACAAAAATACAATCTTATGTACTTTTGCAGAATCTCTTTTGTGATCCCAGTCTTTTTACCCACCCACCCCCATCTCTTAATCTCCACCCTCTTGGTCTCCACTCTCTTCTATAAACACAAGCTATTCTACCTTTCCCCTAGATTTAACACTTAAAATAATGTATAATTTCCATTCTGATTCTGCTTAGTACATTCTACATACATTTTAAAATAAGAAAATAATATGTTTATAATATAGTTGAAACAATAATCCAAAGCAAATTAAACTCTATCATTAAATCTTAAACATTTTACATATTCCCTTTAATATTTTATTAAATCATATAATGTTCCAGTTTTCTAACTCTATTTCAAGTGGAGTACTACAATACAATCTTATGTGCTCTTGCAGAATCTCTTTTTAATTTATATTTTACCCTTTGTCTCTGAAAAAGACCTGTTTTTTTACATCTTGTTTTGGTCTGTTCTTACAGGGCTAATTTTTAGTTCTTTTTCATTCTCTTTAATTTAAAAATTATTTCTTGTTTACAAGCATGTAATAGCTACATTTATTTTTGAAAATAATGTCCTTGAATTAAAACATCTAAGGTTTTTTTATGGTGAATAATACAGTAAGGGTTTGGTAGTAACAAACTCTGACTTTGAAGACTCTAAACTAAGACCTGTCTAGCTGCTTGTTTCTCTCTAGAAGTAAAAGATTGGCAGTTGGACATTAAGGCAGCGGAGAGGGCATCTTGGATTTAATTGTGCATCCATGCAGTGGGTTGCCTGTTATGTTGGATTCAGAATCAGCTGGAAATTATAAATCCAAAGGATTTGATTTGTTCCAAAGTGAGGGGAGAGTCGATACACAACAATTTACAAAGTTGCCAAAAGCAATACCAGGAAAAAAACTGACAAAATCTTCAATTTGTTTAGTAGCCAAGGGATTTGCTCCTTTCAAATCCTTTTTACCAGTTATAGGAACCTTGTTTTTCATCTCCTTCTTCTAGGGAGTAAGGGGGCTTTTCCTCCCCCCAAAATCATACAGGACTGTAAATTAAGAACCAGCAAACAAGTCTCTTTAACAAGAATTACAAGAAACTGAATATACAACCAGGGAATGTGGTTTAGCTTTGTTGCTGCTGCTTGTATACTGATCAATCTGTAAAAGCAGAAAAGCAAGAAATGAATTGCCTTTACAGTGCAGCCCTTATGTTTGTCTGCCATTTTAATATTTAGTTTTGCTCTGATTTGCAGTAAATACAGGTAATCATGTCTCAAAATATGCTTTGACTCTTAAGTAGTCTCTCTCAAATAGTGACTCTTTGAGAAATCACTATTTCAAGGAGGCCAGAAAAACATAGTTTATGAATGCACTAATATTTATTCTTTCTCTCTTTTTGCCTGATATGCTTTGGAAAATCCTAAAACTGCAAATAGGTCTACCACTACATCCACACCACTGATAGAAAGACATGGTTAAATCCAATTATAGTGTTTAGCCAAACTGTCCTTTGAAATGGAATTGTTGCGACATTTCAACAATGTTGTAAAGTCAGTGTGCATTCTACAGAAAACTTACATGCAGTATGGTTTTCACGAATAGCTGCTTGGCAAAAATTACCATTAAAAATAATAGAAGAAATAATTTCACCTAGATTTTTACAGCACCTGTATAAAAGACGATTTTTAGATTCTAGCTATCTTTTTTTAAAAAAAAACATTTGCGGGGAGGACACAGGGAAAATAAGATGCTGAAAATTGCATTCTTTCATTCCAGCTAATTTAATAAAATTTTACAGAATATAATAACTCAGCATGCTGCTTTCCCTCCCTTTTTTTCTATACAGGTCAAAGAAATTGGTTTTTCTCTGAGCCATCCTAATCAGTACTTTATAGAAAGTCAGCAGCTACTTGGCGTCACCAAAGAAATAAAAAAAGATGAAAGGCAGCTTGAAAGCTCCCAGCTGAAACACAGCAGCCAGACACGGGCAGATATTCCTACGACTTCCTCTTTAAGTGCAACAGAAGAAATGGAACTGGAGGGACTTGAGGATTACTTTGCTGAAGATTAAACAATTCCATCACTTTCCCGTTTACTTCCTGTTATCTTCCTACATTGCAAAGTGGTGCTGTGTGAATGACGTGTAAAGACATTGTAAATGTGCGGAGTTGTGTTCTACATAGAAAGTGTGGAACGGTATTGTGATATAAAAAGTTTTGAAAAACGAACACTTTCTTGTAAGCACAAAAAATCAGTTGCAAGATTGAGCAATAAAATGATTCAGGTCGCATTTCTGTTTCCATGGGCAAATGCTAGAGCTGTAGGCTTTCCAACACTCTGTTTCATTCTCTTTTAACTCCCAAGTCTTTTTCCTTGATAGAACTGGTTTTAAATATAGAGAAATGCAGATATTTATAATGCACTTTAGGTCATTCCTGCAAGATCTATTGTGTCATAAACAATTCATGATTACTTTATGAATTCCTCCTAAAATGCAAAATTTTCTTGCTGTGATTTCAAGTGGCAAAGCCTCTTTCAAAAGGAAATGAAGATTTTAAATGCATGTTGTTAAACTTACATAATAAAGCCTGTACAATTAAAAAGGAGTAGCTTTATACCTGCTTCTAAGGTCCCAACCATGATCCCACTTTGTAGGAAAGTTGTCCATGTGAAACATGAAGATAAAAAATAAACATCAATGAACTGGGTACATTAGAAGTAGAGCTATGCACTAATATAGATAAGGGTGTTTAGGAAACCTAGTATAATTATGAAAATCAGAGATTTTTAAAATGTATTTTGCACCTCTGAAAAAGGCTACGTATTTATGATGCAAGTTCCCATTTCAAGATTGATCAGTTTTGGCACTTTACATTAGAGTACTAAATCAAATAAATGAAATTAGTTTTACATAATCAAGAGTGAATGAATGAAATCTCATTAAAATTACATTGAAGGAAAGTAGTAAATGCAGTTTAAGGTTCAATTTTGTAACCACTTACATTGGAGGAAACTCCATTAACTTGATGGAATTAATTTTTTTTTATTAGCTACGTCTGTGATAGTTGTAAGATCTCAGGTATGCAATTTTTTTTAGAAGGTGGTGGGCTTTTTTGTGTGTGCGCAGGAACTTAAAAATCTTTGCTACTGATATGTGCAGTAGACTTGTAGCCATTAATGAGATGCTCTAGCATTTACAGTAATTATCTCAATTGCTGTATACGTTGTAATCCTATTACTTTTCAGGTAATGCTTCAATGAATTGCCATTAGCGCAGGCTCCTATATGCTGAAGTGGTTATGCACTAGTTATGTATTCAGAAGTTGTAGAAAGCAATACATTAGCTATTCTTCACAATTCATGGCATTTTAAGAATTTGAAAGCAGTGAATTCTCAATTGAATGTGAAGCTATAAAGTTTTGTCTTCCAAATCACTGGCTGCTACATAGGTATGTCTTTCATAATTGCGGGCTTCTATCATTTTTTAGCTTCTCTAAAGAACTCTCTCTCTTTTTGGTTTATGGAGTTTAATAGTTCCAATTATTTAACCGAGCATCAACACTCAGCAGGAGTATAAAAAGAAAATGATACTACCATCACTACAAATATTCTTTCAGTTTCTAAGTAACCATCTGTGAACCGGACAGACCAAAATAGTCTGCAGTCAGTGGGTTTTACCAACCCCATCAATATACACTGCTCAAAAAAAATAAAGGGAACAGTTAAACAACACAATGTAACTCCAAGTCAATCACACTTCTGTGAAATCAAACTGACCACTTAGGTAGCAACACTGATTGACAATCAATTTCACATGCTGTTGTGCAAATGGAATAGACAACAGGTGGAAAGCATAGGCAGTTAGCAAGACATCCCCAATAAAGGAGTGGTTCTGCAGGTGAGTGACCACAAACCACTTCTCAGTTCCTATGCTTTCTGGCTGATGGGTTTGGTCACTTTTGAATGCTGGTGGTGCTTTCACTCTAGTGGTAGCATGAGATGGAGTCTACAACCCACACAAGTGGCTCAGGTAGTGCAGCTCATCCAGGATGCCACATCAATGCGAGCTGTGGCAAGAAGGTTTGCTGTGTCTGTCAGCGTTGTGTCCAGAACATGGAGGCGCTACCAGGAGATAGGCCAGTACATCAGGAGACGTGGAGGAGGGCAACAGCCCAGCATCAGAACCTCTACCTCCACCTTTGTGCAAGGAGGGACAGGAGAAGCGCTGCCAGAGCCCTGCAAAATGACCTCCAGTGGGCCACAAATATGCATGTGGCTGCTCAAACTGTCAGAAACAGACTCCATGAAGGTGGTATGAGGGCCCAACATCCACAGGTGGGGGTTGTGCTTACACCCCAATACCCTTCAGGACGTTTGGCATTTGCCATGGAATACCAAGATTGGCAAATTCGCCACTGGAGCCCCGTGCTCTTCACAGATGAAAGCAGGTTCACACTGAGCACATGTGACAGACATGACAAGGTCTGGAGATGCCATGGAGAACGTTCTGCTGCCTGCAACATCCTCTGGCATGACCGGTTTGGCAGTGGGTCAGTAATGGTGTGGGGTGACACTTTTTTAGGGGGCCGCACAGTCCTCCATGTGCTCGCCAGAGGTAGCCTGACTGCCATTAGGTACTGAGAAGAGATCCTCAGACCCCTTGTGAGACCATATGCTGGTGCGGTTGGCCCTAGGTTCCTCCTAATGCAAGACAGTGCTAGACCTCAAAGGCATTGATGCTATGGACTGGCCCGCCTGTTCCCCAGACCTGATCCAATTGAGCACATCTGGGACATCATGTCTCGCTCCATCCACCAATGCCACGTTGCACCAAGACTGTCCAGGAGTTGGGGGATCTTTAGTCCAGGTGTGGGAGGAGATCCCTCAGGAGACCATCTGCCACCTCATCAGGAGCATGCCCAGGCATTGTAGGGAGGTCATACAGGCATGTGGAGGCCACACACACACTACTGAGCCTCATTTTGACTTGTTTTAAGGACATTACATCAAAGTTGGATCAGCCTGTAATGTTTTTTTCCACTTTAATTTTGAGTGTAACTCAAAATCCAGACCTCCATGGGTTGCTAAATTTGATTTCCACTGATAATTTTTGTGTGAGTTTGTTGTCAGCACATTCAACTATATAATGAACAAAGTATTTAATAAGAATATTTCATTCATTCAGATCTAGGATGTCTTATTTTTGTGTTCCCTTTATTTTTTTGAGCCGTGTATTTCTCTAGACATGATGTGACCCTCTGTTACTTGAGTGCATGCTGTCTCTTTTGGGCCAGGCTTTCTGTGTATCCCATTCCTACAAGGTTTGGAGATCTAAGCTTAACCTAGGGAAACTTGCTTGGTGACATGTTGAGCTTACAGCTTCTCAAGATTTAATATTACAGTATTTAAAAATCAAAAAAAGGAAAACTATTTAAGTTAAACCGGATTTTATATCTTCTGGTATTTTTTATTTATCTATTTGTATCCACCTTTATTATTTTTACAAACAATGGTTAAGGTATTAACATATCCAACATACCTTTTACCTCCTATTTTCCCCATGACAGACCTATTTGGTAGATTGGGCTGAAAGTCTTTCACTGCTCTTGCCTCACTGCAGATTTCTCTTTGTTAACACTTTCATCTTAAATACTCATGATAGGAGATAATTTTTAAGGGGGAGGAAGGAGATATTGGAATTGTTCACCCAAAAGGCAACTGCCATGGTGCTCAGTGAGGTTCCCCTTTCTGCTACAATTGCATTTCTTACTTTTTCAACCACTCAATAGAATTATATAAGAGGAAAAAAGGGTTTTGGATGAAGTTGCTCCTGAGTAGCCTTATCTGTTGTTAATTCAAGATTTCTCCATGGTTTTATAACTCCAAGAGATTAAATGATAGAAGAAACAACCAGAGTAATGCTGGGGGGTGGGGGAGCATAAATACAGTCTCGGTTCACACCCTACCACTGTATCTTATCCGCCCTTATTATATTGATGGAATTATCCAACAGTACTCCTCTTGAAGAAAAATGGATTGAGCTACCTTTGGACCATTTGTACTTTTTGTGCTAGGCATCCAGGGACAACATTGCTCTTATCTCCTTAGAACTAGATGCCATCTGGGCAGACAGAAGAACTAAAGGAGGTGGTGACCTGCAAAATCACATGGGACTTGCATGAAATGTGGACTTCAGGGAAGAAGACAGAGTGGAAGTCGTGGTAGGCTTTACCGCACATGGCTGGATTCTTGCTCCTGGTTGATTTGTGCTTCCTGGGAGGGGATAAGATGCAGGGATCATGAAGTATCAATGCTTCTTTGAATGATGGGATAATGTGTCTTAAGTCTAGTCCGCAGAATAGCCATTAAAAAAAAAAAATCTCTACCCCATTTCCAACCCTTTTTTGGGAGGTGTGCTGCAGAAATAGTAGTTAGGACAGCAATGTTTATGTACTGTAGATGAAATGGATTTTGTTTTGCATTCGGGCCTGGGAATGAAACACAATTCTCTTTGGTTGCTCTTGTGGATGTCTTGTGATGCATGGGCGGGATGCTGATCCTTTTAGGACTGCTGAATCTCTCAGCAGCATTCACTTTCTTGACTAAGGTAATCTGGACTACCTATAAAGATTAGAGTCATGGCCCTGTGTTGCAGTATATGTCCAAATTTTCCTGAGTTGTCAATTCCAGTTGCTTGTTTAAAAGAAGAGGCTGAGCCCTTGTAGGAGAACAGCAAACCCTAGAATCTATTCTAAGCCTTGCATTCTTCATTATTCTCTTCAAGAAACGGCTAGGAGGAGGAGTCAGTTGCTTTGGACAATGTATGTTAGTATTCAGATACTACACAGTTGTAAATCTCCTCAGAACAAGCAGGAGAAGTCTTGGCCCAGTGTTTAGGGGCACTCCCAGAAAGTGCTTGTCCTCAGGGCAACTGACTCCAGATTGATTGACTGTGTTCTGACCAGTTCTGGAGAACCGGTAGTGGAAATTTTGAGTAGTTTGGAGATCTGGCAAATACCTCCTCTGACTGGAGATTTTACAGTATCCTTTCCCTGCCACGCCCACAGAACCAGTAGTAAAAAAACAAATTGAATCCCAGCACTAGTTTGAATGTTTATTCTGTACAATTTAGATCTACCAGTGTTTCATCACTTTGAGTTCATTATAGAAATAATAAAAGACGGAATATAAATAAATAGCATTCTAAATTGGGTGCCATAACCATAACCAGGAAAATCTGAACAACTGCGATTTTTACTGGAGCAATGGGTTCTAGCATCAGTAACACCTGAATTTTAACCCCTCATATTTATACTAGGGAAATTTATTATACATAGGGATGTCCTTGAAGATTGTTGTGTTGTTATGGATGGAACCAAATGCAGCTGTACTTGACAGTTGAAACGTTAAATTAAATCTTACAGATTTAATGTATAAAAGCAACAGTGCTGTAAAACAACCGGATTTTTTAGTACCTTATTCCTTGTGTATCCAATTCCTTGTGTGTCCAATCACACTTGGTCAATAAAGAAATTGTATCCCATCCTATCTTATTCTATTCTATAGTATTCTTGATGAAC